ACTTTAGGGTTTGCTTTCCTCGCAATTCTGTATCTGCAAAAGCTTCCTTGACTTCCCTTTATATAGTTGTATGACACAAGTACTCCGTAGTTAATAATCCTCTTTCCCAGGTTCCTCTATTCCTCTCAGAAATAGAGATCCTTATTCAAGTAGTAATCAATCGCCGTCTTCTTCTCGGAAAACCTAGGAAAACCCTAACTCCGCCGCTCCGAGACTCTCGCTAAACGAGAGAAAAAAACCTCCTCTGCTTCAAAAATTGAAGCGGGCTAAATTCTGCTATCTAATTGACTTTTGAAAAAGCTAAAAAGTGTTTTTCCAACATAAAATAGAAACTCATATTTTAGTTTCTAGGAAAATCTGTTTTGAAAATCTAAGATTATCCTTACCTTTTTAAAAAAACTTCCATAATTTTTTTTTATTTATATCATTTTTAAACTAAAAAAAATTCATGATCACTTCAAATACTTTGATTTTTGGTCTAAGAATCCTAACTTTCTTCTCTTAATTCAGAAGGCATGGGCGACGCAGGTAAATGAGGCTTCTATAATGATAGTTAAAGCAAAGTTGGTTGAGGCGAAAAAACCTCTTAAGAAATTCAATAAAGAGGTACTAGCTTTGACCCTGCCCGTTGGGCAGGTAAATTTTTTTCATTTTTATGTGTTCTGTTTTGTATTCTATTATCAATATATTCATATACATACTACCAAAAAAAAAATATATATATATATATATATATATATATATATATATATTCATATACATAAGATAATTTAAAAGTGCTATGCAAATATTCAAAAAAAAAAACATTCTGTATTTTGTAGATAAATGGATAAATAGAATATAGGTTAGTTTCTTGTTTTTGTTTTTGATAAGAATCAGAAACCTGTATATATGGAAGTAAATGGGGTGACAGGAAAAAAAAAAAGGTAAATAAAAAAATGAGGAAAATAGGGGACATGGAACAGTTTAAGGGAAAAAAAATGTATATGTTTTTAATAATTTAAAGATCCATATGGCCATATATAATGAAGGAAATTGGGGTGCGATAAAATTAATCAGGTAAAATAAATAGAATGAGAAAAAATAGGCTAGGTGGAACGGTTTAAGGGGAAAGGAAGAAGGGTTTCCCTTTTTTATATTTTTGAATTAGACGGGAAGGGAGAAGGATTCTTTTTTTTTAACTCTCTGTGTAGTAAATTAGGCGGGTTTTAATTGGAGGAAAGCAAGTGATGACGTGGCAATATGGGTGGACGGGGAATTTGAATCCCTGAGTGACAGTTAGAGAAAACGCTTAATATATTTTTTAGATTTAGATAGATATGATGACTTACGTTTGCAAGTAAAAGAGGTAGAGAGTTAGTTGATTGCTAGCCAGATTAATTTGAGCATTGGATCTTCTTTATGAGCAGAGCTTTGGTAAGGTCTCAGTTCTGGAGAAAAGGATGGATGAGTTAAGGAAAGCAGAAGAGAGCATGCACAAGCAAAAATCAAGGATAGGTTGGCTTACCTTGGGGACAGAAGCACAAGTTTTTTTACCAAGCTATAAAAATTAGAACACCTAAGAAAACCATAAGGAAGTTGGTGACAGATGGTGATGAGGAACTCATGGATAGTGATCATGGACATGTAGCAGAGGAAGTGGTGCAATTTTACAAAAACTTATTCGGTCAGGTAGACCCTGTAGTGAAACCCAGTAGAGAAAAGCTTGAAAATCTCATCAAGAAGAAGTTAGTTGATGCAGAGAAAGAGTTGTTGTGTCTTCCTGTCATGACAACTAAAGTTCTCATAGTTGTTTTGTATATGGATTGAAACAAAGCACCAGGTCTCGACGAATTTTCAGCGGTGTTTTATAGGAAGACTTGGCTATCAATGGGGCTGATATTACTACAGTTGTGCTTGATTTTTTTCACTCGAAACGATTGCCAAATAATGTGAAATCTATTGTTGTCTCATTATTGCATAAGATTCTCTATGCTTGTGTTGTTGTGCATTAAAGGATTTTAGACCTATCTCTTGTTGTACAAGATTATTGCTAAGGTGCTTGCAAGTAGATTAAAGAAGGTCCTTCCTACCGTAATAAGTGGATCCACCTTTAAAGAAGGTAGAAGAATTGTGGATAACATATTAATGGCGCAGGAATTAGTAAGTGGTTACCATAGGAAGCAACTTTCTTCACGATGTGCAATTACGATGGACTTTGATGAAAGCTTCTGGCTCTATTAATTGGGAGTACTTGTTTTTTTTTTTTTATGATGGATATTATGGGATTTCCTGTCCAGTTTGTTAAATGGATTACACTATGTGTCAAAACTGCAAAATGTTGTATATGTGTGAATGGTGGACTATGTTGCTATTTTGGGCACAAAAAGGGAGTTAGACTAGATGACCCCTTGTGAACTTATCTATGTACTATTGCCAAGGAAGGATTTTCTATGTTACTGAGGGGTCGTTTGCTTGTGGGATTTGAGTGATGGATTTGGAACCCAAATCCCAAGCATCATGGAGTTGACACAAATCCTTTGTTTGTTGAGGGACACAAATCCGTGGGGTCCACAGATTTGGACCCCTTTTTCATATCCAAATCCGTGGACCCCACGGATTTGTAAATCCCACATTTCATTTGGGATTTGAGAATAGAAGGAAAAAATGTGAGACAAATCCATCACAAATCCATGATAAAAAATCAACTAAACAAACAATGTAATCTTCCAAATCCATGATGCAATAAGTCCATCATAAATCCAAAGGTTTTTATAACTCAAAATCTTCATTTTCGAATCCAACAAGCAAACGAGCCCTGAATGATGTTGCCATTGGTGGATTGATTCCCTATCACTCGTAAATCGTAATGCAAGAAAGTGTCTCTAACACACTTCACCTTCCCTGAGGATCTCCTCGAAATTACGGAGGGATCAACTCAAACAATCACTAATATAGAGGGAAAACTCACAAAGTTTTATAAATTGTCAAGGCTAAAATGTAATCACCGGACTTGCAAAGTGTATTTGGGCAAAAATTAGTGGGATTTAAGTAGAATACACCGACTTTGTCTGGTTTTCATGAAGGATCTCTTCATGTTCTAGGTTTACCATTGATTTCACCGAAGCTTTCCTTTGCTGATATGCAAGACTAGTGGATAAAATAAGTTAGAAAATTAAATTCTGGAGGGCTAGGAAGTTGAGTTATTGACACGCTACTACACAACTTCTAACAGTGGCCAAGTGTAACCAATGAAATGGTCTGCAGTATAGTGGTGCAAGTAATAAATATCGAATCCATGAGGTCTCTAAATTTACTATTACTCAGCTTCGGCTTGTTATCTAGCTAATCAGATTAAGGTTTGATTAACTAAACTACTTCTACAAACTACTCTAGGTTAGACTACTAATTACAGGTTGGGAACTCACTTAAGCATGATTTTTCCTAGCCACTAGCCAGATTAATGGTTGATAATCTCTAACCTATTTCACTTTCATTCACAATCTTTTACTGGTTTATGCTTCATCGAACAAAAGACCCACATTACATATTTATAGCTAAAGACTAGAAAACTCTAATAGACTATCCTAATATGACTCAAAAACTACTAACAATATCTAATAATATCCTAAAAATTGTAATTATGATAAATCCCAAAAGTAGGTTTCTATCAACTTTTTACTTTTTACTTTTTAGCAACATCCATCTTACCTTCACAAAGTGCCTGGAGCAGTTGATTAATTTCAACAGGGGCAGGGGAAAACCCTTTGCCAACCATCTCTGCCAGCACATCACATGCTTCAGACAGTTTTCCCTCCCCATCTCCCCCTTCCTCAACGTCCCCATGACTATTAGTAGTGTTCAAATGGTTATCATGGTTATAACCAAACTAAATAAGGCTAAATTTCATTAACCATTGAATACAATATCATAATCAAACCGTCCAAACTAATACAACAACCAAATTAACCAAAATAAAGTTTAATCGGTTTGGTTAATTGGTTAACCAGATTAACCAATATAAAATCACATTATCATTGACGATGAAACTTTCCGGTTAATGCAACAATTCGCTATTTATATAATGAATAAAACATAACAATCAACACGTAGTTATAGTTGACCCTTAACAAAAATACATGCAACTAAGATAATTATCTTACGATTAGTATAGAAGTATTCACCTAACAAAAATTTATGACAATGGTATGGGTTAATGAATTGTTGTGTTTGTGTAAATTGACTTAGTCTCTTAGCAATTATCATAGGCTCGAAATGACCTTCCTTTCATGTTTTCATCCATCATAATGTATGAAATTTATCTAAATTAGGCGTCCATATGTTGTGGTCTACATTTTACATATACAAATATACACTATATGAGCAATATTGAGCTTTATATTTTATGAGTCTAAAAAGGATGAACATTAACTCTTGAGTGGTTATGCAAAGTATTAAGTATGTGTATATAATATATGTTAGATATATGACTAATTACTTAAATGGTTAATTTGGTTTGACTGGTTAGGAGTGTCTGAAACCAAACCAAGGTTGTCAAACCGGTTTATACCGTTGTGCCGATTTGGCAAATGGAATGGTACGACCGGTGGTATAACCAGTTTGTGCCGGTTCATGCCGGTTTAAAAAATGTGAAAACAATTAATATCTCATGCATTTAATCATATATAAAACATATTTGTGGACAATTTAGTTACAATCCAACAAATATCATCAACTTTTAACTATTACATTCATAAAATGAATAATAAATTAATTTTTTTATTCATTAAACTCATTAAAATGATGTCATTTTACTTAGAATGCGTAAGTCGATCAAACCGTTCATACCGGTGGTGTCATGCTGGTTTCATGACCGGTACAGGTTGAACCAGGTTCAACTGGGTGGCATGCCACAGGCATGACAACCATGAACCAAACCAAACCACCTAAACCAAACAAGCTAAAAACTTTAACCAAACCAAACCAATTATCCAAATTAGCCAAACCAAATTATCCAAATAGTACCGATTAAAACGGTTACCATGGTAACCAAACTGTTTGAACACCCCTACCCATGACGACTTCGTTCCTCTAGGTCAATCCAAAAATTGCCTATTTTCCTTCTTACTCCAACCTTTCCACAATTTGTTTCTTTCCCAAATTATTTCACATGACAGACAACATTCTGAACAGAAATGCATAATAAAGAGAATGATAATCTCCTACCAATCTTTGGATTTTGCTCCTTCACACAACAAAACATACCGCAGCATAGATAGCACACCCCAGAAGTTGAAGAAATGACTGGAAAAGAAGAAAAAAAAAAAAAGAACCATTCTTCCTGACACATAAAGGTAAACACATTTGTCTTTTCTTACCGCTAAAGAACTGAAAATGGAATCGACACTAAAATCGGAAACCAAAAACCAAAACCAAAACCAAAACCTAACTTTCTGTATATTGATGATAGTCTGACCAAGCACACTCCCACAAACGTCAATCGACATGAAAACCCTCACACCCTCCACAAAACTACACTAACACAGTTACCAACCCTCTAGATCCCAGAACAAAAAACGCAGGAAAGACCAAAACTTTTAGCAGGCGCTTGCAACCCCGTTTGCAGCAACTTTGTTCTCGGATGATTCAACAACAGTTTCGCCATCCTTTGATGCCATTTCACCGGTTGCTCCATTTTGTTCAGGAACCCCAGGTTCCCCGTTTGTCTTCAACTCGATTTCTCCTACTTTAATCGGGCCTTTGGCCAAAGTACCACTTGCAGGCTTTTGCAAGCCATCTTTCACATTCGTTGCACTTTCCAAGACCTGGTTTTGAAAAGCAAGAAAACAGACAGTTCAGAACAAGTTATTACTTGTGCAAACAGCAATCAGAGCGAGATGAGTATCACAAGAAGCTATGTTTGTTACCTGCTTCTGCAACTTCTGTTTGGCCCTCTTCTCCTGCATTATCCTTTCACGGGTTGCATAGAATCCAAAATCGTTCAGAATGGAAGTCTTGGATTTACAGGACTTGAAGATTTTGAGAACCTCAATGCCCTTCTCAAGGACAACCTACACCATACAGCAGTTAAGTGATAAGATTAGTGAGAACCAATAGGATAAAAGGAAAAGCACGCAAAGAAATGGGGAAAAAACCAGAAGAAGATGCTTCTACCTCTTGAGTATCCCTACTATTTGTTACAGGCTTGTTCTCATTATTCTCAAGTGTAATGTGCCTCAAGGTACTATTTGGCACATCCTTGATGATATGCCACTTGACAGGGAAGCAACCAACCCACTTGTCCTGTTGCCAATACTCCACAGTTTTCTCAAAGTCAACCGGGCCAACCATTTCGGCCAAACCAACAAATTGACCACTTGTATTCACCTGCATGCAACAGATTTTTTGTTGAGAAGAGGAACTCACAGGAAGAGACCAGCTTGATTAACTGAATATCTGGAAGGCACTAACCGAAAACAATAAGAATACAGGGCAGTGGCTGCCCTTCGCACTGGCCTCTTTGTAAGCTGCATCAAGTTTCTTATTACCATTCAGAGTGCTAGTCCAAACACCATATTTGATGCTCTTATGGACATCATCTTCACTGTATGATTTAATTACAAAGAACTTAGCATCCGTGTACTCTTCTGGGAAATCCTCCCTGTTATACTGTTCCTTGTCTAAAATTTCACTCGGATTCTCCTCCTTGTTGTTCCCTGTCGTAGGATTGGTCTGCCCCTCTGGAGCAGTGTCAACACCAAAGTCCTTTTGATTCCTAAAACTCTTGGCCCTGGGGCCTTTGTTCAGCTCGCCTGAACCATCCATATTTTCATTGCCGTAGGCACGGCCTTTTGACTTGTACCTGTCAGCAGCCATCCAACCACGCCCATTGCTCATATTGTTATAACCAAATGCATATCCAGTGCCCCGGTTTCCATAATTTTCGTACATTCTGTTGTTTGGATACATCATATAACTAGAGCCTTGCCCAAAACCTGGTACTGGCCTTGTTGAATGTGAATTCTGTAACAACATCAAACAAAAATCATTACAATCTTGGTAGCTGAAGCAGTAGAAGTGGTGGACTTCATTGCAAAACAAGAAAGGATCCCGTGTATGCACATACCATTGAAGAGGAAAAACTGCCTCCAGAAATATGTCCAGATTGACTCCCAGTGAACATAGAGGGATCAACCCAAGGGAATGTTTGTTGAAATGCCTCATAGGAAAATCTTGGATCCTGATAACTTGAAGTCGGGTATGTTGTCCCTAAATTTCCCCTTTTGAAGGAACCATTGGAGTTTGAATACGAATTCTGATTACTTGGTCTGGAAGTAGTAGACTTCAATCCGTTATTTTTATTCAGACTGCCCATATTCCCAGAGTTTGTCCCAGCAACTGGCAGAGGTACTTTGTCGGTCACAGCTGCAGTTGAGACCTCCCCAGGTGAGGGGCTAACCTGGCCAAGTGCACCATTTGAACTAGGAAGCTGATAAAAAGGACTAGGATACTGGTATTGCTGGGTCCCATACAACTGGCTATCATGGGTTGGACCAGCAGAAGCATTTGATGAAGAATATGTTCCATAGGGATAACCTTGGGGATAAAAAGGCGTATCACTATCTCCTAACCCAGCCTGCCAATACACAAGTGGTCAATGCTCTACGACATAAAGCAGGGAAAAAAAGAGCACATTGGAAGGACAAGTGGACCTTATTACATACAGGATGGTGTTTAATTCAGTGATATTAACAAATCTAAGTATGAATAAGAAATCTGAGAAAAGTAGTAGAACTGACATTAGATATCTCAACCCCATCCGGATTTACATATCTACTGTAGTCGTTCCAATCATAACCTGAAGAAGGATGAAGATTTTGCAGCAGAGTTACCGACCAAGAAAAACACATATTGCTCATCAATTTGAAACTAACTTAAGAATTTCAGGTTCATGCCTACTTTAAAAAGGATCCCGGACAGCAAAGTCCTTGATGCGGAGCTTACCTCCGTAATAGTACGCAGATGATGGGTATCCATTAGGATAATAGAACGCATTCGGGTCTACAAGAGGGGTTGTGGAGCGAGTTAATGCCATGGCTTGATTATTAGCCAAGTCATTAGGTCCATATTGACTAGTTGACAGCTATACCAACCAATTTATCATATGATCAGGAAAACCAAACGAAATGGGTACAAAGAACTGAAGCTGGTAAAATTGACTAATCCCAAGCTTGTTACTTACCTTCTTTGCAGGATCCAAAACATCAGTTGTCTTGGCCTGAGGGTCTAGTGACAGGTTTTCCAACAAACCTGCAGTTTCTGTGGGAGTAGGAGTATAAGGATACAACAATATACACAGCCCACAAACTTTAACCTCAAACAATACACATGAATTGATCACATAACCCAAAGAAAATCTGTAATTAACAAATGAACCAATCAAAAATATTGATATGAAAGACAGCTTCTCTTGACATAAGTTGGGCTATCACGAAACTGATATCATCTGCAACCGTAGCACTACTCACAAGTCACAACAAAGGCTCAGAATCAAATTCAAACTAACCACCATGACTATATACAAGTAAATCATATTCATCCATAAGAAATTCAACAAAAAGATGCAGAAAGAGAAAACCAGAGCCCACCCACATAATCAAATCTAAAACCCCTGCAAAACCCAATAACACCACCCGAGGCCACTGGCCAGGAACAGAACCATTCACAGGAAAGAAACCAATATAACCAAATCTTGAGTACTGCTTCAGCAGATTAACAAACTGGAATGGACGAATTTCAGATGCAACACGAACACAAACATAGAGAAGTATTCAGATTTACGGGGGCGGCGACGGCAACCAAGAAAGCTGAAAAATCAGACCCAAAAAAAAAAACGAAAGGCTAAAAAATACCCAGTTCAGGGAATTCCGAAAGGATACGATCAGCAGAAGAAACGCCCGCCATGACCGACACAGATTGAACGAAGAGAGAGAGAGTGAAAGAAAGGAGGGAAAAGGAGATAAACCCTAGAAATAAGGAGGGAAAAAAGAAGAAGGGTATAGGGTTTTAGAGGCGAGGCGGCAGAAGAAGAAACTGGTGGAGAGGTAGAGAGAGATAGACTAGCCGCCACAAAACTGAAAAGGGTTATAGAGAGGGCGAAGGGTGAGAGAGAGAGAGAGAGAGGAGAGGTTTAAGAGACACAAAAATACTCCTTGCTCACAAAACCCTCCACGGATCCACTTCCGTTACCGGAGGATATCTTTCTCCATTTCTATTCTTTTCCCCCCTTTTATTTTTTATTTTTATTTCACACTGAAAATGCTAATATACTACTTCTACTTTTATGATTAGCTTAACTGCCCCTGAAGCTTATCAGCCGTTAGATCTTCCCTCATCAGTCTATTACAGATCTGACGGCGTAACGACTTCAGCGGCTGCGTTCACCTACCCTCCCCAAATTCTTCTCTTGCTTTTCTTCTTCTCCAACGACAACTCCACAGAAATGCTACTCCACCAACCGCAACTCCATCATCGACCATGGCTTCCACGGCCAATGCCATCTCCCTCTCTCTCTCCACTGCCGCCACCTCTTCTTCTTCTTCTTCAACCCGCCGGGACAATTGCTCTTTCTCGCCGGATTCTGCCTGTCTCAGCTTCCGAAAGCCTAACGGTGGCGTGTCTCTGCGTTTGAGACCGGCGGCGGGAGCTTCTTTGGCGACTCGCCGTACGAGCTGCATAATTCGCGCTACTGCTGCTCCGGTTATGGATCAATCTCCGGTCAGTGACTCTGGTTCCGCTGGAGCGCCTACAGTTGTGGAAGTCGAGTTGGGGAACCGGAGTTACCCGATTTACATCGGATCAGGCCTCCTGAACCAACCCGACCTTCTTCAAAGGTGTGAAATTGCATTTCATTTCGTTTCCCCCTGTCGGCTTTTTGTTTTTTGATTTATCACTCGTTCGGTTTGTTTTCTATCTGCTTGCCGATTATCGATTTGTCTGGATTATCAAGCCTGAGAAATATAATGGAGCATCGGTTTCTAGGATTTGGTTGATGAACGAATGAGCTTTGTTTGAAATTGTAGGCATGTCCATGGGAAGAGGGTCCTTGTGGTGACTAACGAGACAGTAGCTCCCCTCTACCTGGATAGAGTGGTTGAAGCATTGACACAAGGCAACCCTAATGTGACAGTAGAGAGTGTGATTTTGCCTGATGGTGAGAAGCACAAGAACATGGTACGTTCCACCAAGTGGATTTCAATGCGTAGGTTGAGGTGATGCTATAGTTATAGAGGTTATTTAGCTGAATATGGCTTGTTTTCTGCTGACAGGATGTTCTCATGAAAGTATTCGACAAGGCCATCGAGTCACGGCTGGATAGGAAGTCTACATTTGTTGCTTTGGGAGGAGGAGTCATTGGCGACATGTGTGGATACGCTGCTGCGTCGTACTTGCGAGGAGTTAATTTCATCCAGATCCCCACAACTCTTATGTCACAGGTTTCTCTCTTGTGTTAAACCGTTTTGTGTCATGGGTGTTTCTTCTGTGGGGTTTGCCCTGAATGTTTTTGCCTTTTTTTCAGGTGGATTCTTCTGTCGGAGGCAAAACTGGCATAAACCACCCGCTTGGGAAGAACATGATTGGTGCGTTTTACCAGCCTCAGTCTGTTCTGATAGACACTGACACGCTCAACACATTGCCAGATAGGGAACTTGCATCAGGGATCAGTGAGGTTGTGAAGTATGGGTTGATTCGTGATGCCGAATTTTTTGAGTGGCAAGAGAAGAATATGGCTGCACTATTGGCAAGGTAGTCTCCATCACTTTCCAAAATATATTTAGTTAGGATCCAAGAGACTTAACGCCTTATTATAGAAGGGTGTCCTTGTGTTTGAGCTTAGTTTAGCTATGATCAGTTTCTACAGCCTAGACCCCAATATGATCAACAATTTGCATTATACTCAAGTGTTTGGTTCATAATCTGATTCGCGAGTTGGTCTGCCAACCCCATTTGCCACTGTAGAGATCCAAGTGCTTTAGCTTATGCCATCAAGCGATCATGTGAAAACAAGGCCAAGATCGTGTCCTTGGATGAAAGAGAAAGTGGACTGCGCGCTACTTTGAACTTAGGTCACACTTTCGGTCATGTGAGTGCTTGAATATCTTGACTGATTAAGTCTCTGCTTGTTTGATGCATCCTCTGGAACCCCACCTTACTAGTTTAGTCTCTGCTTGTCTGATGCATGTTTCAGGCAATAGAAACCGGATTCGGATATGGGCAGTGGTTCCATGGAGAAGCTGTGGCAGCTGGCATGGTTATGGCTGCTGACATGTCTTACCGACTTGGTTGGATTGATGATTCGCTCGTGAAGCGGGTTCGGAATATTCTAGAGCTGGCTAGGCTTCCTGTTGCTCCACCGGAGAGCATTACTATGGAAATGTTCCGATCCATCATGGCGGTAGTTATCATCACCCCTTTGCTTTAGTAACCAAATTCTTCGATCCTCCTCCCCCCTGACATATTCATGTTTCTCACCACATGCAGGTTGATAAGAAAGTTGCTGATGGGGTGCTAAGGCTTATCCTCCTGAAAGGTCCTCTAGGAAACTGTGTGTTCACAGCGGATTATGACAGGAAAGCTCTCGATGATACACTCCATGCGTTTTGCAAGTCATGAACAAAAATGCTGTTTTTATCTTATTTGAGCATATGATTCCCTTGGTGATTTTGTGTGTACTCCATCAAATGACTCCTACTTGTACCTGATCAATACCGCTGTATTATATTTCTGAGACCTTGAATTTGTTACTTGGTTGATTTAGCGGATCACGAGAGTGATGATCCAAAGGCTCTTACTTTATGAGCACTGTTATTCAACCACACTACAAAAGCTAATGAGTGCAATAGAGGCTTAGAGTAACTCTGCGCCAACAAAACCAGAACTCTTAGCAGCGGGAAGAGAAGTGCCTTTTGGGGCAATGGGTACACCTGGAACTCTCTACTAACGAATTTCCCAACACACCACGAAGGTTCATTTGATGCTACTGATGTGGAACATTTGTTGCATGTCTGGTCATTAAACACCTTGGAATGAATAGGGTGACGGGTGCCTTTGAATTCTATTTAAAAGTTGAGCACACAAAGAACAGTACTGAACAGAGAAAATAAAAGAAAACTTGAGCATTCTTATCATTGTCCTTGTTAGAAACAAGCTTCCTCTTTCCTCTTCATCCAAAGTCTTTCAGCGCAGACCTGAGAGCAAATATGTTTCTCAATGCTACAAGAAAACAAAAATAAAGTCCTAGCCATCTGTTTGATCACTGTTTTTGTGCTGCAGACACAGCTAATTAGAATTCATTATCAGAAGTCCAGAAATTCAATCACCCCTTGATCCCTAGACTCTAAACCCCTAAAAGCTACCAAAAATTAGCAGTCATTTGCAGTTGTAGCTTTGGTCTCGGGCGAGACAATCGACTTCACGTTCACACCAGCCACTTCAACTACTCCATTCGATCCATCCATTTCCAGATGCTTCACAGCAGCTTCATGAGGGGTCACATTATCGCCGGACTTGCCTTCAGAAACCTATGTTCACGAAAAAATGAAGTTATTGACGCAAGCTCTGCTCGTGGGACAACCAAAGACGGGATCCTGCATTGAAGAACGCAATCAAGAGAAGGCGTAAGCTCAATTTCTTACCTGCCTTTGAGTCCTCTGTCTGGCCCTTCTCTCTTGCATTACCCTCTCACGGGCTGCATAAAACCCAAAATCATCCAAGATGGATGTCTTGACCACACAACTCTTGAAAATTTTTAGAATCTGAACACCCTTCTCAGTGTCGACCTGCAATGAAAAAATGTAATTAATAAAGGACATGCAATGGAAAAACAGTTGAATATTTGAGTTACCAAGAAAATTTTCAGCACCACGCACCTCCTGAGTGTCCCGACTGTTTGTCACAGGTTTGTTTTCATTGTTTTCAAGTGTGATGTGTCTCAAAGAACTGTTTGGTATGTCCTTAACAATATGCCACTTTACCGGGAAGCATCCCTTCCATTTCTCTTGCTGCCAATGCTCCACAGTTTGGTCAAAATCAACACGACCAACCATCTCTGCCAAGCCAACAAATTGTCCGCTAGTGTTTACCTAAAAGAAACATTCAAAAGGCCATTACTAGGGAAGGAAGCGAAAACACCGCAACCTTCCGCATCAACCAAGTGATCGATCCATTTGTATAAATAGAAAACAAAACCAGGTGACGGTCTCAGAATACTCACAGAGAACAACAAAAACACAGGACAACCGCCAGAATTAGCTTGGGCTTCCTGGTAGGCTGCATCCAGCTTCTTATTACCATTAAGTGTGCTCGTCCAAACACCATACTTGATACTTTTATGTACATCATCTTCACTATATGATTTGATGACGAAGAATTTGGCTTCTGCGTATTCCTCCTTGAAATCTTCCCTGTTATACTGTTCAAACTTCTCCTCTTTGTTAGTCTCTGTTGATGGAACGCTTTGCCCTTCTACAGCAGATTCTGCACCAGCACCAATCTCCTTGTTGTTCTTAAAACTCTTGGCCCTAGGTCCCCTGTTCAGCTCACTTAACCCATCTATATTCTCATTGCCATAGCCACGACTCTTCGATTTGTACTTGTTATCGACAACCATCCACCCATGCCCATTTGTCCAAGAGTTATAGCCAAAGGAACCAAAACCACCAGCAGCTCCATTTCCATAGGGAGTATACATTCCATTAGGTGGGTACATCATGTATCCAGCACCTTTGCCAAAGGCAGAAGTAGGTCTTGTTGACTGTGAATTCTGAAATTACCATCAGACTAACATAAATATACTGTGTTTGTATAAAATCTAAGTACAAAGTCTACAAAAGGGCAACACTAAATGTCATTATTTTTCATTTTCCAAGATATTATGCACAATTAAATAGGAGAACAAAACTATAACATTAAAAAAACAGAAGGGATGCCAAGTTAGACACATTCTTGCAGCAGTATTTCCTATAAGTTTTATCATCATCGGACTAACCAATTATAGGTGAACCAAGCCATGACTGTAAAGGAAACGTTTTTTACATGGATACTGAAAAGACCATAAGAAAAACAGTTACAGCAAGGATACACATACCAGTCCCGAAGAGAAACCACCACTTCCATGTTTTGATGACCCATTAGAAAGCATAGGAG